GACCTCAGGGTCCGCGAGGTTTCATATGGTAAAAGCAGATCTGAGAGATAAGAAGGCCCAAGACCATTAAGACATATAAATTAAGACCAATAAAAGAACTTTAAAATCGATCCTGAAACACACGGGGAACCAATGCAGTGATTCTAAAACCGGTGTAATGTGGGCCCGCCCTTTGGTCTTCGTCAGCACACGAGCTGCAGAGTTTTGTAAAAGTTGTAAGGGTGAAATATTCTTTTTGGGGAGACCAGAGAGCAGGGCATTACAGTAATCAATGCGACTGGTAATAAAAGCATGCATCAGCATCTACCGTGTTGGCCCAAGAGAGAATAGGGCGGACTCTGGCTATATTTTTTAGATGATAAAATCCGATTTTGGTTACATGTTTAATATGTGGGATAAAACCAAGCTCAGAGTCAAAAATAACACCCAGGTTTTTCACTTGTAGCGAAGGGCATAGTGAAAATAATTAATTTAGACAAGAGTTTCTCTCTCTGAGCCTCAGGACCGATGATTAAAACTTCAGTTTTGTCCTGGTTAAGCTGTAAAAGGTTTTCTGCCATCCAAGATCTTATATCTAAAATACAGTTTAATACATTTCTCCATATATGCTCATTAATACACGTCAGGCAGAAAAATTGTCTTGCTTTCTAATTAAAGCCTTTGATTTTAAAACCACTTACTGTGGACTGCAATATTGTATTCTGAATTTACTAAGAGGTACATTGATGTTACAGACTTCCTACAGATCCTTTTTAATCCAAGTGTCAAGTGACATGGTTTTCAAGGTTTTGTTCATCATAGCAAACTTAGGTTAGCTTAGCTTAGCTTAGCTTAGTTTTCATATGATGAACTGTCAGCAACTAAAAGAGAGACCAAAAATAAAAACAAGCAAAAATAAATAAATAAAATCAAAATAACATGTGAACAGGGAAAGAAAAGGAAAACCAAAAAAATAATGAACTATTAAAACACAGACTTTGACAAAATTTCATAATTTCCTCACCTTTAATGGTTGTTTTGACATAGTTTGTTTTCTGCTTTGTGTTCTAACACGTATAAGTTTGTCTAAATATGTTTTACAGATGTGAAATAATGTGAATGAAAGTAAAAACAAAAAAACTGGCCAATCTCTCCGATTTAAAGGGACATTTAGCAGAGATTAAAGGAACTAAACTACCAGTTCACAAACACATCAAAAAGAACATCCAGGACTCTTGCAACTCGATGTGCCATCTTGTTTTCTAATAAGCTGTTGAGGGCACTGAGCCCCTCTGAGGGCGGGAGGTTGTCAGGGCAGATTTCTGTATATGCAAAGAATACAAATTAAAAAAACCAGCTTTTATGACATAATAGTGACACAGTATGTTGAGAAATGTGCTGAAACTCTCACCGTTGTTTGGGTCCATCATAATGGGTGATGACATCCGGAGACATTCTGCTTGTTTCTTTAACGTCTCCACAACGTCAGGAGAGACACTCGTTTTCCTGCCTGGAAATAAAGAGCAAAGGGGGGGGTGGGGGTGTAACTAAATGTTTTTCTACAGATTTTCATGCTTCAAAAAGCAATAGTAAGAAGAAAAAAAGAGTTCCGGATTCACACATGGTATAGTGGGATGTGTGTTTCTTACTGAATAGAAGAAGGCTGGTAAAAGTATCTTTCCCAGAGATGACTTCTTCATAAGCAAGCAGACAGTCAGAGCAGCCAGTTGGCAGGTAGACCTCCTTTAGGTAAAAAGGCTCCTCTGTATAAAACAAACAAAAAAACAAACAGTGTCTTGAGATTGGAAATCACAAGAAACTATGTGATTGCAGGTTTCCTCTGCATGTAAAACCTCTGTGGCCATTCTTTACTCACTGATTAACATTGTGCTGTTTTCAAAGACCACATTATACGTCATGCTCGAACAGTCACCATGTCTGTGAGGAAGAAAATAAAAGCATCAGAGCTTCAGAGATATCAAAATAAACATAGAAAATAAATATGTATAAATGACTTCAGCTATTGTGTTAAAATTGCTTAAGGGAGCATTTACATTCTCTGAGTCTGCAGGATATTGAGGACGTTACTGTTGGCAGTTGTAGTAACATTCAACCAGACGCTGGTCAGCAGGAAGGCCAGGGAACGGCTTCCCGGGAGGTCAGAGCTTCCCCCAACATATATCCATTTTCCCAATATCTGGAGCACACAGGCACAAGTTGAATTAAGTATGTTTAAAATACAAAACCCTATATTTTATTCAGAACAAAACATTAAAAAAAAACCCAAATCAAATGTTTAAATTGATTGGATATAAAAAGAGCAGCATGCATGTATTTGGACTGTGGGAGGAAGCCGGAGTACTTCGAAAGCGCCCATGTAAACATGTTGAGAACATGCAAACTCCACACAGACCAACCAGCCAGGTGCTAGATGCAATCCCAGGACTTCACTACCCCTAAATTTCAATATGAAGTCTTTAATTGTATTGTAATTCTGACAATGGATTGTTTTTTTTCTAAATTTTCTCCCTCCAAGAGCCAATATCAGGACAAGTTTGCTCCAAAGCAACTTACCTCATCCGTGTTGACAGTTATTGGGTTTATCAGAGGGTCACAGCTGCTCACAGGAGCTGAGCGTCCCACCGAGAGCAGACTCAGCAACAGAACAACACACTTCATCTTTTAAATGTCTCCTTTCTGCTTTTCAAGATTTCCTCCTTCTTCTTCTTTTGTTACTGCCTCCCTGTTTGCCTCCAAGCTCTATTTTGACTTCACAGCCTCACAGATTTCTCTGGATGCAGGATTTATTCACTTGTGCTGTGAACCTTTGCAGCAAAGGCAAACAGCAGGGGATGATCGAAGGAAGACTTTGACCTCTTTGAGGAATATCGATCCAATCACATGCAACAGGGAGCATTGTGTGGGCTGTAATAAAGTGCGTTTGATGTTTTCTTTATTCACTGAGATAATCTTCCCCGATTAGTCACTGATACTCATGGATACATGAGATCACAAGTTTATCCTTTTATGTTAGTAAAATTTGGACTATTGCATATCTGTAACATACAGAAGCATAGAGCTGCCACCCAGGCAAAAGAAAAATACAAGTGTATCACGTTATAACGTGAAAAGTTTATTGTTCTAACAAGATACTTTTCCTGTTTGTACAATATACT